TTATATATACACACACCCACACCCACACACCCACACACACAGACACACACACATACATATATATATATATATATATCGGGTTTTCATATAAATTGAAACATGTTACATTATTTTGTTTAAATTTAAAATCAATAAATGTTAGGACTAACATCACAACACATACGTTTAAAAAAACTTTATACAATTCATATTGCCACAAAAATAATAAATACCATTTTACTATAGAGTAACATATACTGTAGGTATTTATGCTAACAGCTTACATTATCTTTTAGGGTTACAATTGGTCGGCCAGTATTGAACTTTACCAGCCGAGCAATTACTTTGGGTCTCTAAACGGTAATAAAACTGTCGAGATTGATCTCATGCTTGCATCGGCGTTATTCACAGACCTCTCCATTGATGATATTGGCTTCCAGTACATTCTGGAGATTACAATCACAACTATTCCCTCAAGTTTCCACCAGATCTCCCAGCAGCTGAATCCCTTCGATATTATCTCGGCCAGAATGGTTACACACACAGGAGAACCGATGCAGGTTACGCTTCGTTTCTTGGCAGATTACGACACCGTCGCTTCCGGCAATGAAGATAACATAGCAATATATATTCTAAACACGTTTTCAAGAACGTACATCAACGTCACAATCAGTGACATTCAAGTGTCCAGAGGTTAGTTATATTTAAAAAAATGACGTTTTTATTTATTTTTCATCTCATGATATTTTCATTGATATATCACAACTCTCCGTAAAAACTAAATATGTTATTCCAATACCCAACTCCAAAAGTTAATAAAATCCTTTTCTAATTATTGTTTTATTTTTCCATAATTTAATGATTAAAATAAAATTCATAGTATTTGGTAATTTAGGCTTAGGCCAGGTAGCATTCTACGTACAACAAAAAAAGGTAGTGCACAATTAACAATATTACAAATAATATCGTACAAACAGTAGGTAATCATTATATTATGAATGTCTTTCCCTTCGTTCAGGCTCGATTTTAGTTTCCTTCACAATGGTCGGTGATGTAGAAAACACCGCTGCTTCGATTTACAATGATCTTCAAGCTGGACGCATATCGTTGTACGTTGATGGAAGTACAATTGAAGCTGATCAGAACTACATGCTGGTAGATGGAGAAATATATGGACCCTCTGATGTAGGTTAACATGTTTGTATTTTCTTTTTCAAAGCTATAAAAAATGATTGAAATGACTAATAATCTCAG